CGAAGGACTATACACAATGGACAAACACAAATAAACAACCATACCCAAGTGGGATTCGAACCCACGACCTCTCGGCTCGTACCCAAATTCCAAATTAATTTATTTAACAATAATACATTATAAATTTTTAATCAGCCTAACTATAAAAGGGTATAAAGGTATAAAGAGAATTTAAGTAGTTTAGAGAAATTAGTTAATTTTGAGGTAATCCTGACAAGGATGTGTGGCCAGAAAAGATGAGAAAAAAGTATAAAAGTGAGAAAAATGAATAAAGTGTAAAATTTTGAGGTGACAGGAAGGTTAAAACTTGGGTAATTAACCTCCCTGTCTGAACTTTATACCGCATAGGGGCCCAGATTATTATAATTACTCAGTGCTATTCCGCTTTTACTCGCATGGCGATTTTGGGGAAGATAGTCAGTAAAAAATTTCAAGGAAAAGTAATGGAAGATAATGTGAAAAATATGAATAAAATAAAAATTGTAAGTGATTTGAAGGAAAAACAATTTGAAAAAACCTTTAAAATTTTGATAATTTTTAAAAAGAATAAAGAGGGGATAGTACAAGAGGAAAAGGAAGAGTATAAGTGCCGAATATGTTTAGGCTCGTACCCAGGAGCTCTGACCACTACACCACCGGGCCTTCTAGTCCTTTAATGCGATATAAAAATTATTGAAATCTCGAATATCTCGGAAACGGTTTATTTTATCGAAGTTTGAGAGGTACACCTTTTTAATAGTAACCAAACTGATAAATCGAAAAATGGCATCAAATGGTATAAAAACCTAACCTCAAAGTTTGTATGGGACAATAAGCTTAAGCAACCCCTGTTTCTACGACGCTGTGTTCACTCGAACAATTGTAATTATGTGTGAATATGTGTTTTGGTAGTAAGTGACTGTTCCCAAAATATCACCTTTCCAAGTCTACCACAGTAGAAGTTATATTTATCTTTTAAACAAACGTAATTAGGAAAAATATTTATTTAGATTTTCGTCTTATTTTGACTTGCTTAATCTGCTCCTGAATTTATGCCACTAAGTTTAGGGACACCTTGTATATTAATGAATATAGTTTGTTAAAAGAATGGTTGGACAAGCGCGGAGTAAATCTTTTTCCTACAAAATCAAATAAGGCTAGACAAGGTACAAAAACTCTTGCCAATGTAAAATTTAAAAAAAAAGAGGGAGGAAATTTTTTTCCTCCCGGGGAGGAAAAGAGGCATTTTCCTCCCTCGCTCGGGGGTGGAAAAATAAGTTTTCTAGTAAGGTAGTAGAAAAAATATTTTATTCCAATCTACTATCCGAACTCTATTTATAATGTTTACAATGTTCAATTAGAAAATATTTAATATGGACTCATTGAGGTTGAGAAGGTTATTTATTTCAATTAGTTTTATATGCAAATTGGTTGACAATAAAATAGATTTTTTTTTTTATTAATTTTAAAAATAATAAGGTACATCCTATCCAGCACATAGCAATTATAGCAATTATAAGACACATCCCAACAATGTACCGCAATGTAAAATTGGGTATATTAAACCTTCCGTGCAATGTACAGTTGATATCACATAATGGCATGTCATGTCACGTCCCTTGAGGCGACCTCCGAATTTCCGCAAAACGTTAACATTGGGTAATGTTTTCGTACCTACTCTTAACGTTAGTTTAAAACATTAATTAAAGTAACTATAAAACATGCGTTTTATGTGTCTAGTTTACCTCTTATATACGTGTTTTTATAATAAATATATTATATTATATATAATGTTTCAAAATGTAAGTTAGCGTTAGCAAACTTTTTTATTCTTTTTTATAGTATTTGTAAATATTATATATATTTAATGTAAAAAACTAAAATGTTTATTATTTTTAGTTTTTAACACATCTGCTCAACCTACCTAACTTTTTAGAAAATTGAAAGAAAAAATTATAACTTAAATTCCTGTTTTAACATTTGGTATAATTATTAAATAAAAAGCAAATTAAACAAAATTCACATCAAAAACATGTCCTTGGCGCCTTCTTTATCATCCGTTATAGTGCAGCCCTTATGGTGCAGTCTGCTGACCTTCTGCTTGCTCAAATATTAGGTTCGTCCTTGCCATTTTTTTGGGGCTTCTTGATAATCACAAAATTGACCAAACCCCTTTAAAACCATTGACACTCACTAGCGTATGCTTGGCTCATCATTTTCACGTTTTTGATACAAACTTTAATGGTCGCTACTCTTTTAATCGTGATATGCCGACTGAAAACAAAATCTCACTTTTAAATTCATGAAAAACAACCTGATGTGCGAGCACAACAATTTTTGTTCTGGTTAACGTAGAAACCAAGACGAATAAAACTCATGCTGCCACATACAGGGTGTCCCACAATTAGTGCGACAAAATGAAGGTGTATTATCTAAAGACCCCCCGGAATTCCAGAAAATTGTTTAAAAAATTCTTTCTTCATTATTTAATAAGATACAGGGGAGTCATATTTTCTTTATAAGGCAACATTGCCTCATAACAAAGTAATAGTTTAATTCTTAATCATCATGACAATTGTTAACAATTGTTAACAAACAACAATGTTAGAAAATGCCAAATTTAAATGTCAAAATTTGTTAGTTTAAGTTATAGGTTATTTATTTTACGTCAGACTGGATAGAAATAAATACAGGGAGTCCCTGTCTGACGTAAAATAAATAACCTATAACTTAAAGTAACAAATTTTGACATTTAAATTTGGCATTTTCCAACATTGTTGTTTGTTGTCATGATGATTAAGAATTAAACTATTACTTTGTTATGAGGCAATGTTGCCATATAAAGAAAATATGACTCCCCTGTATCTTATTAAATAATGAAGAAAGAATTTTTTAAACAATTTTCTGGAATTCCTGGGGGTCTTTAGATAATACACCTTCATTTTGTCGCACTAATTGTGGGACACCCTGTATAATAAATACATGGCTACATACATTCATAATATGTATGTAGCCATGTATTTATAATATATATATATATATGTATATTATACATATGTATATTATACATATGTATGTAATAATTGATTAAATGTGCAATATTTAAAAAAATCTTCCAAGATATATCTGTTATGTTTTTAAATAATGTTTTCTACTTCCCCCTTTAAAACGCTTATTATCGTACATATTTCCATGATACTAAGTGAGATTTTAAATGCACATAAACAAGTTGTTGCTTTATGGCACGGGCTTCAGTTAGAAACAGGTTTTTAGTCACGGTTTTTAGTCACGGGCTGAACTTAGTTGACAGTTGTTAAATGTCCAAACAATCGTTAAAATAAAGCTTTTATATCTTAACAAAAGATCTCACATCAAATTTAAAAGAACTAACCAATTTTATGTTAAAGGTTTATGCTCCAATGTGATTCATAATAAAGTGTAATCCATCTTTCGCAAAAGACAGTTGGCTAAAGTTAGCCATCGGGAATAGTTTAATTTTCATAGATTACCTTTGCAAAAACTTACTTGATAAAAAGTAGTTAATATTTAAAATTGAACTATTCATAACACGGGTCAACACAAAATTTGACTTTGACTTCAATGCATAAAATTTCGATATTTTAGGTCTTAATTAGACGGAAAAAAAATATATGACATGAAAAAGTTTGCTTTTGTATTTAGGAGAACGATTGAACGATATTTTTCAAAATCTGTGATTTTAATTTTTAATTGAAAATGAAACCATTTAAATAAATATGTGTATTATTTTTATTAAGTTTTACTTTTAAAATAACTTACAAAAAAGTGGAAAATAATTTAAAAGTGTACGCTTTTACTTTTTCTTTTATGTTCGTAAGTACTTTCTCTCAATAAACCCCAAACATAGTCTCCCATCATGTTTTCATTGTATTGGCCTTGATAACGTTGTTCGAAACTCATAATGTCCTGATGAAAACGTTCTCCTTGCTCTTCTGAATACGCCCCCATGTTGTTTTTAAATTTATCTAAATGAGCATGCAGCATATGTACTTTTAATGACATCCTGCAGCCCATGGCCTTAAATTTTTTTAGCATATCCTCAACTAACTTTTCGTAGTTTTCAGCTTTATTATTTCCTAAAAATCTAGAAACTACTGCTTTGAAACTGTCCCAACTCTCTCTTTGAGTACGATTCAACAACGTTGGAAATTTTTCATCAGCGAAAATCTGTCTAATTTGCGGACCAACAAAAACCCCAGCTTTAACTTTTGCTTCTGATAACTTCGGAAAAAATTTTTTTAAGTATACAAAAGCTTCTGACGTTTCATCCAGTTTTTTAACAAATTGTTTCATCAACCCTAACTTAATGTGCAGAGGTGGCATTAACACTTTTTCCGCTTCAACAATTGGCTCAACTTTTACGTTTTGTTTTCCGACACAAAGTTCTGTTCTTACAGGCCATGACCGTTGAATATAGTGCTTATCATCCGCTCTGCTATCCCATAAGCACAGATAACATGGATACTTCGTATATCCGCTCTGTAGTCCCATTAAAAATCCCACCATTTTAAAATCTCCAATCAACTGCCAGTTATACTCGCGATACTTTACAGATTCAAGCAAGATTTTAACACTGTCATAATTTTCTTTAAGATGTACTGAGTGAGCGATTGGAAGAGATGGGAATTTATTTCCGTTATGTAATAAAACAGCTTTTAAGCTTTTTGTAGAGCTGTCAATGAATAAACGCCATTCGCTAGGAACACAGGGTATGCCAATTTCTTCGAACATCCCTTTTATGTCATTGCAAAAACAAAGTCCATCTTCTTTTGTGAAAAACGTTGAAAATGTTTCATGCCTAGTCCGCTGATCCGTGATATTAACATTATTAAACAAATTCCACTGTTTTAAGCGAGAGGCTAAAAGCTCTGCTTTATTTTTTGGCAAATTTAAATCTCTTACCAAGTCGTTAAAATCTTCTGTAGTAATAAGATGGTGTTTTGGTTGTTCTGGTGTAGGTAAAAACTCCCTATCGGAATTACTTTTATTAGAACTAAGAGATGAGCAACTTTTCTGAGATAATTTTTTCGGTGGCTCAGGTACGGGTCGTGTCAGGTCGTGTGCAATTGGAGCAGAAGAAGATTCAAGGTCAGGATATTCGATAGGTTTGGCATTTTTACCACTACGTCTTTTTCTAGGATTCACAATGCAAAAGTAGCAGTCATTGACGTGGTCTTTTGGTTCTCGCCAGATCCTTGGTATTGCAAATTTCATGGACCTCTTTTCACCTCGATACCAACCTAAAATATAGAAATAAAAATTAATATGTCCAGTATAATAATATAATATAATATTATATAATTATATTTGATTCACAGCCTAATTAAAAATTGCTTACCTTCCAAACATCTTTTACAATAACTACAAGCAACATGTGGAGCCCATGGCTTGTCTTGATGCCGAACAGGACAGTCAAAATATGCTTCGTAGGCTTCACATAGGACGTAAGATGTCTTTAGTTCGTATTTTACGTCTCGAACTTTAATAAATTGACCACATATATAACAAAATGCATCAGCATCATATTTACACTTTCGCGACGACATTTTAAGTTTTTGTAGACTTTTACAAAACACCTGTTCGTTGTTTATCACTTAAGTGCCATCTAGCGGCACTATGTGAACGTAAAAACCCCACTCTGATCGCGCGGTATTTTTAATTGTGTTAAAATTAATTAAAATTTATAAAAAAAATTCAAAAATGAGTATTATTACTATAACTATCACAAAAGCAAACTTTATACCAAAAAAATGTATTTTCTTTTCGTTTTTGTGCATAATTAACTGAAAAATCATAAAATAAACTTTAGGACAAAGAACGAAATTTTTTTTGTAGAGTCGTGTAATCATAATTTTTACTTTCAAGCCAAAAAAACACGAAGATTTTATTGCGATATTTTTTTATAAAATCTTAAAATTAATAAAGAAGAACGTCCCTATATATTTGTGTCAACCTCAAAGTTGATAAAAACCACAGACCTACAAACAAGATGGACCGGTTTATTTACATTGAAAAGAGTGGCCAGGAACAAAAATAAATATTTTCCCTCAGTTGTCACATTTGACTTTGAAGTTTCTATATTTTACGTAAAAGATACTTGGAATCCACAACATTTAATATTTTTTGTTTGATTTTATAGTGAAAAATACCAATAGTGAGTGATATAAAAATGGTGAAGCAGTGCTACGTTTGTAAAAGACTTGGATCCAAGAATTTAAAACTTTCTTTTCATAGGTTAGTTTATTTACAAAACAAACCCTGCCAGGAGCGTAGAAACTGAATAAATAAATGAATTCACTTAAATTTTAGATTTAAAGAGCCAGATTCTACATCATCTGGAACACTAACTGACAAGGTTAGTATTTTGTTATACCTATATATTTATATATATTAAATATAATTTTTACATAGGATTGCAAAACACAATAAAAAATGTACAATTTAATATTTTTATTTATCCCTAAAAACAGAACGCCACTGGTGTGGGAACTTGTTTATAAATACCCCTTACCCCTTTACCCCTAATCTAAATAGTTCTTGGCAACAAAACATTGTGTATTTTGAATAGGAAAGGCCAGTCCATTTTGTTTGTAGGTCTGTAGGTCTGTAGGTCTGATAAAAACAATAATATAATATACAAGGTGTATGAATATTTTTCCTAATTACGTTTGTTTAAAAGATACAGGGTGATAAAATGTTACTTATCATATCAGTTTTTTTAATATAACTTCTACTATGGTGGACTTGGAAAGGTGATATTTTGCGAACAGTCACTTACTACCAAAACACATATTCACACATAATTACAATTGTTCGAGTGAACACAGTGCCGTAGAAACAGGGGTTGCTTAAGCTTATTGTCCCACACAAACTTTGATCTTAGGTTTTTATACCATTTGATGCAATTTTTCAATTACTCAGTTCGGCTACTATTAAAAAGGTGTACCTCTCAAACTTCGATAAAATAAACCGTTTCCGAGATATTCGAGATTACAATAATTGCTATATCGCATTAAAGGATTAAAAGGTATATGATAACAAATTTTTTAATTGAAAAAAACTACAATTTTTTTAATGTGACGGTCAGGGCAAAATGTCCCGAGTCTCATGGAATGCCCTTATTAGTTTTTTCAATTAAAACATAAAATTTGTTATCATATACCTTTTAATCCTTTTAAATAATGCGATATAACAATTATTGTAATCTTGAATATCTCGGAAACGGTTTATTTTATCGAAGTTTGAGAGTTACACCTTTTTAATGGTAGCCTAACTGTGTAATCTAAAAATTGCATCAAATGTTATAAAAACCTAACCTCAAAGTTTGTATAGGACAATAAGCTTAAAGCAACCCCTGTTTCTACGACACTGTGTTCACCCCTTTGTCTTAGGTTCACCCAAACAATTATAATTATGTGTGAATATGTGCTTTGGTAGTAAGTGATTGTTCGCAAAATATCACCTTTCCAAGACTACCATAGTAGGGGTTATATTAAAAAAACTGATGATAAGTAACACTTTATCACACTGTATTTTGGAAACATAACTTATTAGGAAAAATACTCATTTGGGTTTTCGTCTTATTTTGATTTGTTCAATCTTTTCCTAAATGTATGCCAATAAGAAATTGTCAATTAAGATTTATACTCTAAAAGGTATGCATATTCAAAATAAAAGTTTTGTAAAGAAAAATTAGTTTTAAAAACCTAGCAATTAAAAATTAAAACATGCCATTAAAATTATATTATCCTCGAGAATATTTTTACGATCAATAAACGCAGATTTTATGAGCCATAAAATTTCCCACAAGTACAATTTTAATAAGAGCTATCTTGTTTACTTTTAGTATTGAAATATTTGGAAATTAAATCGAGTGATTATTCCTTTGAAATTATTACCCCGATATGGCACTTGTATTGTATTAATAGCCGGCGAGCGAAAATGTTTCAGGAATTATATTAGGAAAATAATTCGCAAAATTTTACGGCTGGGAAATGTATACCCCTTTATATATAACAATAAACGAAATTTAATATCAACCTTTTTTATCATACTACGAGATATACAAAAAATTTAATTACATATAATTTAATTTTACAACCTTGCTTACAACGCTTTACAAAATTTCGCTCATTCGAAACAACAGTGACACAACTCAAAAATCAGTTTTTGAGAAAACGCATTTTAAATTTGTTATTACTGTTTTCCATTAACCAAGCCGGGCTAAAAAAATAAAAGCTGGGCTCAAATATTTTGGTTGTTTAGGCATACTCTCTAAAAAATAGTACCTAATAACAAATTTGAAATGCGTTTTCTCAAAAACTGATTTTTGAGTTGTGTCACTGTTATTTCGAATGAGCGATTTGTTTAATGACTACTATTTTTTTAAATTTTAAAAGCTTTCATGCATATAACTGCTTGGCAATTTATTAGCGTGTAAATATTATAATTTTATATTTTTTCTTAATAATAGGTTTTTTTAGATACAGAGGTACATATTCAAAATTAATAATTGAAAAAAATGAATTAGTAAAAAATGACTAATTACTACAGTTATTAGTGGCTGCTTTTTCACTTATACCATGGTATACCATGGGATAGCATGGTATCCTCGATATAATAGCCAATTCTTATGTAAAATTGTCCCCTGAATCCGAAAATACTGTCAAAAATTATAAAAGTAGAGCAGTTTTTGAGATATAGTCAATTCCATATTATATGAAAAATTAACTTTATCTCAAAAACTCCCCAGTAGCACACCAATATTGGTAAAATATTATTTTTACATATTGGCCCAATGATGGAAACGTCAGATTGTATTTTAATGGTCCTATATTTGTATTAAATATTGATCCAATATTGACATACAATATTAACCCAATATAGGTGACATTTATTTTACCACTTTAATTTGTAAATATAGGACCAATATTTGTATTCAATACCGATCCAATATTTAAATGCAATATTTACCCAATATTTGTGCCATATATTTTACCATTTTAGTTTGCAAATATAGGACCTATATTTTTATTTAATAATGATCCAATATAGGTGATATATATTTTACCATTTCAGTTTGTAAATAAAGTAAATTTTTTACGTTAAATTATAAAGTTTGATGTATATACAGGGTGTCCTGAAATTAATGCACCATACTTTAACAGCAGATTGTACGTGCAAAAATAAGAAAAAAAGTCCCTACAAACATAGGTCAAGAAATGCCTCTTAAGGAAGCTACAGCCCCCAAAAGGAAAGCCCCTGAAGATGGTTTTTATTTAATATCTCCAAAACCGTTAAAAATATAAAAATGAAATTTGGGGAATTACTTAAACTTTTTATGACCAATAAGACGTAACAATAACAATTTAAAATTTTTTATGTGGTTTGGGTCAGATTGATAGGAAGTAGGGTTAAAACCACCTTAACTTTTTTGTACGTATCTTGTACCAGAATTTGGTGTCAGATTATAAAATTTTAGAGTTTTGCACATAAAAAAGGTCATCTTGTTGAACTTCGATAACATACACCGTTTTCGCATAAAATCGATTTGAAAATTATTTTACATGGCATAAAAATTCACAATTAAATCACAACCATAGAAATGGACTCGCGTGGTCCTTGGAATACGGCTGCCATGTTTAGGAAAAAATAGAATAATTTAAGACAGGTGACAGTTTCATGTAGTAAGTGACAGGGTGTTTTTACTTTTTTATTTATATTAGATAAAAACCATCTTCAGGGGCTCCCTTTTCGGGGGCTGTAGCTCCCTTAGGAGGCATTTCTCGACCTATATTTATAGGGACTTTTTTCTTATTTTTGCACGTAGAATCTGCTGTTAAAGTATGGTGCACTAATTTCAGGACACCCTGTATATGTGTATATATATATATATATATAAATTTGGGAATAGAAAAAATAGATATTTATAATTCAATTTTAAATAACGAAAATATATTTTATTGGTCTATGTATTACATAAAACATTAAAACACATACATAAACCATGATGTTACAAACTATCATAAAACATATTATCTGTTTTTGTGTCCACCCCCTCTATCTGACGCCCCGCCAAATACAGGGATATGGAATTGTTTAGTTCTGAAGTTGGGAAGCGTTTACGGATAGCTTCTATAAAGAAAAATAAATAATAATTTACTTTGCAAAAATTAAAAAAAACTTACTTATTACAGCCAAATGACAAGATAATTTTCGAAAGGATAGCTTTCCTTTTTTTTCAGTCCCTAAATACAGCCACTTCCATTGATAAAAGTTTATTCATTATTAGAAAAACTGCCTTGTGGGCAGTGTCCCCACCACAAAGGTACAATCGGTGACCCTATAATAAACAACGTGATAATTTGTATTGAACTTTTAACATAATTCTTACCGGCATTTCAGCAATTTTTTCTTCCATCAAGTGCAGTTTCTGGATATTCATGGTTATAATATTTATATATTATATTAAATTGTATAGGTAGGTACTTACATTTACTTTGCACAGGATACAAATTTTGTTAATTTGCAATCGATAAATAGGTAT